CATATATCTAAATAGTGTTAGAGAAACACATTTATTTACCATGGTTTCAGAGTCTCAAGTCAAAAGTAGCAGAATTATTCAATCAAGACTGAATTGCTGTTGAATGGTTTTGTGTGGGTAGATTGTAAAGCACCCATTTGTGTTTTATCTAGCACTTTCTAATATTTTTCTATTCCCTTGCTACTACTCAATAAACTAAAATTTCAGTGACTAACTCTTAAAGAGATTTGACTTTGTATAACTGTTTATACTGTTTCCAGTGTTTGCTCAGAATATTTCTATCATTTGATATCTGGCCTTGCAGACAGTAATTTAAAATACAGTTTCCTTTTCTGTTGTGACATAGCACTGTCTGTCAGTTTTCACTGCAAATAAGTGATGTATACCAGCTATTCAAAGGATAATGAAAATAATGTTTGTATAAATCACCTGAAGATGTGACCTAATTAAATGTCTCTGATCCTAACTTAAAATTACTATTTTGTTCTTGTCTTCTTTGAAATGTCACTTGCTCTCCATAGAGGTGACTGTGATGATCTTTTTCCTTACCTAAATGCTGCAATGTTGTTCTTACCTGCTTTTTTCTCACCTGCTTTTCTTCTCACATCTTCAGGAATGTGTTAAAGGAAGTATCCTTGGGATTTCTGTGGGAGTTCTGTACGTCTCTCCTAGATTCTGCTTTCTTTTTTCTCCCTCTCTGTGTAGTCTCACCTACAAATCAAAATAGAACTCTCCAGAGTTCATGAGAAGCAAGTATTTTAGTAAGCCTTACCTACTTTTGCTACAGCAGACACTGATCTAAGCTGGTTTCATCTTCAAGGGGAGATTTACACTTGCATCTGTCTGGCTTGATAGAAGTTATGTCTGAATTCCTGAAGTTCCTAATCTATTTTTTTATTGTGGCAGTATCTTTATGAGATACCTGTATATACAAACACACATAGATCTGTTAGCTATGGAGCAGATGTTTATCTTGATAGCTTTAATTGAAATTACTATTCACACTAGACAAGCTTAAAGGTGAGTGGTTAGTTTTGTTTCAGGGAAAGAAAAAGTTGGACTTTTGACTGATTAGTTAGAGTTACAGAAGAAGAGTAAGGCAATGAAGATAATTTTTGGAGAATATCTGGCAACCATGGGGTTTTTTTTGCAGTTGTTACATGAGCTTTTTAGTGTGTATTTCAGGCATAAAAATGAGCAAACTGCAGCAGCCTATATGCCCTTTCTTAGAAAGGGGCTTAAAAATGACTTCTGGGGCTGATGAGCCCCTTTTTCTGTCCTTATCAGGCCAGTCAGGGAAACAGTACTATGATCTATCTCTCTTCACCCACCCACACCCCGTACCCACTGCTAGTGATGTACCTCTGCTTCTCCTGATTGCAATTTTCATGTGGTTGATTTAAGTATTCAACTTAATGCAAATATACTAAGTGGTTCCTGTGTAGTCAAGGAATTAGTGCTGTACTCCTTTGAGTATTGCTTTACTAACTTATACTTGACTACCATTCCTGCCTGTTGGTTCCATTTTTAAGACCTTTAGAATTTTAGAAATAGTTGATTAAAGAAATACTCTCACAACATTTTATAAAATTTACACATCTTGGGGTTGCTTTAGCTTTTAATGAACAGAAAATGTAATTTATTAATGTAGATAGCAGAGTTTGTATCCAAGCACTTAACCTAAAGTGCTGGTTTGTAACGTTTGTATGCTTTAGGATTCACTGTTTGCAAATAGTTAAATCTCTTTTCACTTTTTAGGCTAAAATATGTGTATTTTCTTGAGACATCCCATTTCTAGCCTTCAGTTTATATTCTACTTGGTAAAAATGGAGCTATTAATTTTCCTCTGCTGTTGTCTTCTTTCGCATTCACTTCAGATGAGGAGGATGACTGTACCATCTGGCCCGTAAACTTCACTTTGGGTCTTTCTCTAAATGTTTGTGCTTGATGTGTGTCCAAATCTTGCAGATTCTTTCTTTGAGACCTTTGTTAGATATGGCCTATCATAACCATTACCGCAGTTATAATGTTCTTATTTTGCATCTTAATTGCAGTAATTCCTTTTTCTTGGCCAATGCGATGTTATCTAGTAATTTAGAATATTCTGCAAGATCATTTTCCTGGTTTGCAAAATCAAACTGTACTTATATATGTGACTCACTTTCTTTCTATCCAATACTTATTTGTCTTTGCCTTTAAACTTTTCATAGCTTAAGTGCATTCTAGTATCATCCTTCATCCCAAGATATCTACGCCTGCTGTTAATTGGCTCATCATATGAGCCCATATTGGCCAGCTGTTAGTTTTCTTTATAGAAAGTCCTTGCATTCCTTATAAACATCTTTTTTGAAAATCATTTTTCTCCTCCAAATTCCTCCTTAAAGTCTTTTTGCTGTGATGTCTAAATAAAAGTTGGACAAGTCTTATCTCCTGGTGTGCTAAGAATTCTGCCTGTTGAGCTGACCAATGTCTGTTGTTAAAAAAAAAAAAAAAAGGACTGGAGGGCAACTATTTACTGTGTTTTAGCTGATCTTCAGTAACTGTCTGATTATGCCCTTAGCCTGTGGCTATGCAAGGTAATTTGAGTTAGCATAATCGTCTTTCATTGACTGCAAACTGCAACTTTGTATAGTTAAATATTTATTAACGCTTGAAACCCTTTTCTTGTATTAAAACTGTACCCTCTTTCATTGAGAGTAATGTAAGAGGAATTGCCTTGCATTTACTGTGGGCTGAAAGTGTGCATATGGACAGTTACCTGGCAGTTATCTAGCGTAACAGTAACTGTACAGTTCATTGCACACTGCCCATAATTCAGAAGGCACAAGGTGAAATGTAAGTGGGGAGAGGGAATGAGAAATCCACAAAATTCAGAAACATAATTTCACCTTGATTTTCACTTCCAACCTTGCAGATTCTAGAATCTTGGGTGCTTTTAATTTTTCTACTGCAGTGAAGTATATGCTCCACTGACCGTATATTATTCTTGATGTTTCTTCAAATAGAAAATTGGAGGCATTTGAGGATATGTTTCCAATACGGCAGTGGTGTTTTCTTCCTGAAAATTCATTAACCTTTTACCATGCTTTTGTGTTCTACTCCCTATTCTGGGAAAGAAAGTTTGAGATTGTAATTTGTGAGCTTGTCTTTACAGACTTACATAAGCATGTAATGGTATTTTAGAGGAATACAGTGTAAATGCTGTCTTTTTTATTGTAATCGTGTGTAGGTTTTTGGAGTTCGGGTATAGTTGAAGAAATACAGTGAGTGAAATTGGGATGTGGGATTAAGGTTCCTTTAAGAGCCTGTCAAATAAAAATAAAGAATAAAATATTTACTTTTACCCAAAAGAGTAATTTCACTGTTGTATTTTCCAACCTGCACTTAAAGTTAATATGTGAACAGTGAAAATAGTTAATAGTGATATGGATTAGGCAGTATGATGTATTTTATTCTTAAAAGCATTTTGACAGAGGTTCTTTTCCGGTAGTTATTTTTCAGAGAAAAAAAGTTAAGAAGCTGTTACATAGACTGCATGAATTTTTAGCAAAATTGTTATCGACTTTGAGTTTTTTCTTAGTAAATGTATTTGTTTTTCCTATCTTTTTACAAAACTACATATTCTAAGGTTAGTATTATGAAAAACTGTACTACAAACATTAGTGTTAATAGCTTAGTATTTTAGTCCTTCACAAATTAGTGCCTGTGGTAACTGGATGATTTTAGGCCTGTTCTTATAAACAAGGCCTTACTGATGTGCAAGAAACAGTAATATGTGGCAAGAAGTCCACATTAACCAAGGTAAGCAGTATAAATGGGGTGTAGGAATCCCCTGTTAGACTAAAAATCTCCAAGAGAAAATCTCTAGAGTCTGCAAATTAAAGACCTCCAATATAATTTTAAAATAAAGCCTTTTATGTAGTAGGAGAGCATTTTTTCAGCTGATAATCAAATGACAGTATTATGCAGGCTTACTAGATTTGCAAATTTACAAGTTTTTACAAGTCAGTTGGGTCCCTTCCTCAGGAAATCAGTTTAAGTTTTTTTTTCCTGTATTGACTCAAAGAGCCTGGTTGTCCTTAAATCCTTCTGAATATATTTGCCTTATAATTTGACGGCATTGAGTCAACACCCTTATAGGAACTGTAATGCAATAAAAAGAGAAACTGTTCAATATAGTTTCCAGTTACCTTAGGATCAGATTTGGAGAAACTGGAATGTACACAATAAAACTGGTGCGAGACTTGAGTTCCATTTTGTTTTGGAAGCAACCAGTGCTTTTCAACATAAAATACCATTTGAAAGCTTTACTCTGGTTCCAATGGTCGTAAAATGATAAAAATGGAAATGTGTGTGACTCTTGAAATATGCATTTTATTGTTTTTAATTTTCTGAACCATACCTTTGTGGAATTTAAAGCTTCATATACACGTAACTAAGCATCAGTTTTTTTACTCCACTCATTTTTTATTATAGTGAATGTTTTTGCTCTACCATGTTCTGCAATAAAATTCTTTATAACTCATTTACATTTTTAACTTGGAAAAAATATGTAGATTCAGATGTGCTTGGTGTTTTTTGTAAAACTCTTTAGGTTACGCTGGAATCTCCAATATGCAGCATGCTTGCAAACAGTATATGCAAAATTTAATTCTGTCCCAGGTTTTTGTATTTAACTAGCAGTAAAGTTGTTACAAACTGTGTGTATCCAGAAATAAATTTGTCCTTTATTGCAGATAATAATTTGTTGCATTTGACCATACAATTTTAATCGTGGTTTCACTTTAATTTTGCAAATAAAATAAAACTGATGCAATTTGTTATTTTTATTTTGACAAATTATTACAAAAAGAAAGAAACTTGCATTTACATATACCTGAAAAGGAAAAGATTACATCTGATGTGTTTCCAACTAATAATTTCTAAGACAGATAACTATATGGGCTACATTGTAGTAACTTTTCATTTCTTCAAAGAAAATTTTTCCTTCTTATTTTTAGTTGACTTGGAGCATATGCGCACAGTGAAAGCTGACAAGCACCAGCGATTTTGTCAGGAAAACAATTTCAGTAGCCATTTCGTATCAGCCAAGACAGGAGATTCTGTAAGTAAGAAAAATAAAATATTTCAGCAATTTTATTATATCTCACATATCAAACCACTGAGAACTTTGGCTGCTACAGGTCCTTTCTGCTTCCTTTTATTTGCATGTAAAATAGATCTTTGTATGAGTGTATATATTCTTTATTAATTACAGTGACTTCTCATCTGATTTACAGTTTGAAGTATAGATTTTAGTATGGAAATTGTCTAGTTTATACATCAGCATGAGACCAGCTGGATCTCTGTTTGCTGACAGCCTGTAGTTAAATGTATTCCTTTGTTCCAGGTGGAGTCCCATCTATAGACCATCATTATAGAAACTCAGCAGTTTATAATGTCACAAGATTTTAATATGGGTCCTGAGCCATGAGAGACACTCCCTCTGCAAGTCCATTAAAATTTGAACATTCTGGTATTTATAATGCTTTGCAGAGCACATTTTTGAACAGTCTTTTGACTCTGAGCTAACAGGGTTATTTGTTTTAGTTGGAAGCGTATGGAAGAAAAGGTTCTTTTTCAGTTGACTGGATCAGTCAAATTAAATCACATTGCATTGTTTTGCTTGATTTCTGTCACATGCCTAATGACTTTGTCATTCCCGTAAAACAATTCTGTATCTGTCCTTAATGTTACTTATGACAGCATAATTTTATTTTTGTTATTGAACAGTAAGACCATGTTCAATTATATGGAAGTATAATTCTGTAACACAAATTGAATCACTTGTTGTTTTAAGATCTTTGATGAAACTTCTATAATAGGCTGCCTAATTTTATAAGATATTAGTTTTTCTGTACAGTATAAGAATACTGCTGTTACGAATGCAGTGAGTCCTGATTCTCCTTACAGTTTGTGTTAAATCTTTGACACAGTTTTTTTTGTTTAAAGTGTGATAATTTAGGCTTTTTTGTGCTAGAAACAGAAGAAAAAATTTATATGCACTTCACTCATAAAGTGCGTATCTGATAAAATTAATTCCTTTTTCACAGAGGCAATCATGTTTTGGGATTTGGTAATAGGAAGAAAAAGCAGTTCTTTCTGTAAGGTTGATATATTTAACATTACAAATTATGAAGGAATCTTACTATGTCTTTTTAATTAATGAATGAATGATAGCAGCATCCCACTGTGTATACTGATTGTATTTTTTAATTTACTGTTTAAAAACAAAACTAAATCTGAACATACCTAGAAAGCATTAACCAGAAATCTGTTTAAGTATCTACTAACAAAAGAAGGTATGAGGTATAGTTTACAGTAGTTCATTTTTAGTTTCAGTACAGATTTGAATTAACCCTTTCACTGTCACCCCACACTAGTCTTTCAAAATCTCCATGTATCTGGGTAGTTGTGCAGGAAAGACAAGGTGCTTACCCTAGACAGTGTTTAAGAAGAGATCATCCATTGCTACTGTGAACGTAGACTAGAGGATTCTTAAATACTCACTTAAGAGAAGTGAAGGAATTTGTTTTGTTTACCTCACATCTTTCCAACAGTCTCGTTTGCAAAAGATGATTTTGTATATGTAGAAAACCCCAAAAGTTTCCTCATGGGAGAAAAAATTTCATGAAAGATTTAATATAGCTAACTGTCTTACTGTCCATCAAATTACATAACTAAAGCACTGTAGTCATGCCTGATGTTTTGTGCACAAAACATCCTCATGGCAGGCAACCTCGCTCAGAACACCTGAGAGCCTGGTGTGAGTTAAATTACCTGGAAAAGGTAAGCCTGGTCAGGATTTCCTTTCTTGCTGTGTGAATGCTAGTAGAGCATAGACCAGTACTAGACCATGTAGTTAGAGAAAGAGAAATTATTTTGGAAGCTACCGTGGCTTTTTGGTTGTGCTACTAATCAGTTACTAGTTTGCATGTCAGCCGTAAGAAGAGATTGTGTAAATGGTATTTAAAAAATAAAATCATTGAAAATAGCTAAAAGCATTTACATGGGCCTTAACTTTCGGGGTGGCAGCTGGACTATGAAAAGCAATGTTTGTTAGTAGTTCAGATTGTGAGCTCAGTTGAATAACTGTGTAGGTAAAAATATAATGTGTAGCTTGACAATACAGTGCTCAGCAGCAGTGCAAGCTTAAGCTACTTTTCTTTAACATCTGTTGTGTTCTTTAATCTCATTTACAATACAGCTGCCTAAACAGTAAGATTGGTGGACTGGGTTGAGATGAAGTAAAGGAGTTACTTAAGACAGCATTGCCATCCCGTGTTATCTGTCAAACCATGTCTAAAGTTTAACTCTGTCTGGCTGCTGCATGCCCTGCAACATCTTGCTGGTTTCCTAGGTACTTCTGTTCAGTATAAGGCCCAAAAGGTTTTGTTAGACTCTTCAGAAAAAGTGTATCATTGCTTGGCTTTTCTATTGCTGATGTTTTTTAAGTGTGTGCAGTAGAGATTTTGGTGATGTTAATGCACGGTTCTGTTGTTCTCAATTTCTGAAACATACAACTCTATTGCACAATACACCGCTGATACATTTTTGTGCTAAACATTAGTGAATACCCTTATTCATATTTTATAGCACTGAGAGTATTATTTGAGAGGGAGGTTGTATAAAAGCTTGTTTAAACGTAGGTCTCTGGAGGCAGAGTAGAAGTGTTGCTTAACAATCCAGCACACTGTTCATTCCTTGTACCATTGTTGAGTTGTTTTCTCCCATTTTTAAACAAAATTGAATGTACCAGATGAGGTTATTTTCAGACCTGTTTTGCACAGGTCATAATTTTCTATATCTCGCTGTCTATGGTTCAAGAATGGTTTGATATATTTGAAAGATCCTCAAAGATGTCTGTTTTTAATAATTTAAATGCAATTTAATTTTTTTTCATAGGTCTTCTTGTGTTTTCAGAGAATTGCTGCTGACATACTTGGCATCAAATTAAACAAAGCAGAATTGGAACAATCACAGGTGATTTTCCACAGATACATGCTTTTTCTTAGCATATTATTTAGTATATAAAAAAAATCTCATTGCAAATTAGTAACTATCCTTTAAAGCAAGCTGCATCTGTCGTTCTGAAGACAGTTACTCATTTTTACAACAGCTTTTTAAAAATATAATAATTCTTTATTAATCTTGGAAAACTTGCTGAAAGAAAGAAGTCTATGTTCAAAAAAATTAGGAAAAACTTCATTTTGACAGCTGTTTGTTTAAAAACAGTACTTTAAATTAGTTTAGAAATTAAAACCTCTCTATATGTATGCATATACAGGTATCATGGAAGATAGTCTAATATATATATTAAATAATGTAAATTGATGTCAGATACAGTTTTTATGACAATTGTTCTTTTTTAATTCTTTGCATATTTAAAACCAAATTTCCTTTTAGAACACTACAGATTTAAGTGATTGAAGGCATAAGCTTCTGTGAGTGGAAATGTTCTAAATCGATCTGCGTTTTAGTCATACAGGAGAAAAGATTTGTCAATGAGAGAGTCAGAAATTAACCGTATCAAATCCTATGTTTGGTTAATCTCAGATGTTAGTCTTCATTGTGTGCCTGTAAAATACAGGGCCTCAGTAGTGACTGTCTGCCTTGGGAAGGAATATTGGCTTTATAATGTCACTATTTCCCATTTTATTCTGATGTGGAAATGAGAAATGAACCCTGTTCTGGTTCAGGATACCCATTCTGAACAACAGGCAGACCTGTGGGAGCCATGTGTGAGGGAAGCTGTTTCAGCTCCCTGGTGTCTGCAATTATTTTTGTTGCTGTACCAGTCCCAGATAATCTCCCCCTACAGGAGCTGCATAGTTTTTGCCTTTGCATTTTGTGTTTTGTTCTTTGCATTGTGAGTGTTGTCTTGAGGATTTTCTGCCATTTCCTCTGCAGTAAGAGAGGGCTGAGAAGGGGGATAATGTTTCCCAGCAATAGGTGGGAAGATCATCAAGAAGGTTGTCCCCCATTCTCTTACACTGGTTAGCAATGAGTTAGGGTCATGGCACAGCCCTGCTGCATATCCTGCTCTGAACTGGAGCAGAGCTTTGTTGTGGTACATGCTGTTCAGTAATTGTTGTTATGGCATGTTGAATTAATTGGGAAAATAAGTTTTTGCTATTTTAAATTTGACCTGCAACTATATTTATTAAAATGTGAGGACTTGCTTGACTGTATCTACCAGAGCTGGAAGACATTTTTTATCAGTGAAAGTTAGTAGGTCAAAAATGTGTTAATTGGGTTTTCTAATATAACCCTTTTTCCCTTACCTCCTTCTTCCTAGTTCCTCCTTCTAAAAATAGTTTTTCTGCCAGTAAAACTGTGTGCATAGGTTTAAACCAAAAAGATTTTATACACACTCAGTTTCAGAAACCTAAAAAACAAAGATTATACTACTGAGGCAACACTTACGATATAATGACATTTGAGATTACAGTACTGTTATTTTAAATTTACTTATTCAACCAAAATGTGACTGTTCTAGTGGTATAATATCCTGGAACTGCTAGTTACTACCAACATTAAAGAAGTATCACAAAATAAGTCAACAAGTTTATTCAAAAAAAGAGCCAAAACATTTCTTTCTTATAGCTTGGTCTCCTGCTTTTTGAAATATACAATAAATATGTAATTTCTGAAAGTGTTTTGCCACACCAGTATTTACAATTTGTGTTTAAGTGGTTAACTAAAAAACTGTATTGCAAACAGTAAAATGGTAAGATATACTTACAGTGCATAACTAACAAGCAAAGCTAAGGATCTTCAAAAAGCTGTAATTTATAGGCAGAGAAATATTGAGTGTGTCTTTTCAATGATCTTTTACTAGTAAGACAACATCTGTCTATTGTTCTGAGCTCTCTGGTTACTTGCATATAAATAATACAGCACGTAAAGAGTTCTTTATTTTTTCCTTTGGTTTAGCTAGCACTGGAACATCAGTCTTAGACCGTGCTGTGCTCTGTGGTTTTATGTTCCAGTAACTCAGGTGTAAGCTTGTGGATAGCTATGCAAATACCTTAAATTAAAAAGAGAATATGATAAATAGGGTTATACAGAAAATTGTAGCTTTCTAAAGAGAGTGTCTGGTTGTAGGTTGCTTTCAAAGAACCTCTATAGCTCTGACTCAAGAGTACATAACCTTCTATGTCAAATTGGTATCAGCTTTAAGTGGGCTTCCTGCTGCCTTAGTATTGTAATTACAGTTTTTGATTTTGTTGAGCAGGTCAATGGAATATGCAAGATGTAGATCAGACAAAGTCAATATTATGCAAATTACAGTAGCAATAGCCTATAAATAGTTAATATGCATAAATTATATACTCACTGTGGCCCGCACATTACTGTTAATGTGAATCCAAGCGGTAGGGATTTTAAAAAAGGTAAAACATCCCCCTGAAAAACCAGGAACAACAACAAAAAGAAAAACAACCAAAAAAAACACAAAGAAGCAAAGCCAGTAAAAGGGGTTGGACAGAAAAGAAGCTTTATTGTCACCATTCAGGTACAGCAGAAGTCACTGCGTAGTGCTACGCTGTTCATGCAGCTAAAGAGAGAGCTGGAAAGCAACTGCCTGACTTTGCAGAGTTCTGCTGATCGAGCACAGTTTCAATCTACTCCGAATAAGCAATAGTTCTTTGTTACCAGTAAAACGTTTGCTTCCTTTGAGAGTGCTGTTTTGAGTGGGCTGTAGGAATTGCCCCAATTTAAATCAGTGAGAAACCAATGGGAATTGTATTGGAGTGTCTGTCTGTTAGCTGTGTCTTAAGGTTCATTGTTGTATGAAACCAAATACCCTGGTCACTTCTTTAGACAGAGAAGGGTAAGTCTCTATATAATACTGGAGAAGGAAAACTTTAACCTTCATATCCTCAGGGAGATGAATAGAAGGACATTTCTTGAGAGAAAATGTATTAGACTGCAGTGGAAAAGCCTAATTGAAGCAATGTGTAGGTGCTGTTTCCCAAAAGCATGGAGCTGATCTCTTGGCTAGAAGGAGGTGGTGTTAGATGATGTTGCCATTACTAGTTGTCTGGTTTACCACAGACTTCTTTTTAATGATAGGTACAGTTCTCTTAGTGTGGTGGTAGTGGGTTTTTTCTTATTTCCATTTGCAAAATGGGCACAGGGCTTCCTTAAATTGTGGCACAATTATGTGAATGTGTTCCTTAAAATTTTTAGACTTCTAATACTCTAAGGTATTGGATTATAAAAGGAGATAGGTAGGTAGATAGATGAATGCTAAATAAATGCTACAAAGAAACAAAACCAATACAATAGTAAGTGTGACTCATCCTTAAATCAGTAAGTATGCAAGTGTTGACTTGGATTTAATCTTTAGACAAACAGTAAAATACACTTCCGTTTTTACATATGTGCAGTATTTACCCGCTGGATTATATATTTGAATTTTTCCTATTTTGTGTAATGTATGATTTTCCTAATTTTGAAAAATGAGAAGGTTGCTGCTTGAATGTGATTATCAGAGAACATCAGATGTCTACATTCATTCTAGGTGATAACAAAGTTTAAGATGAAATACTGAGTAAAATGCCAACAGTGAAATGCTATATGTGAATTATATTTTATTATATATTTCTTCATTATTACTGGTTATCTAATATTGAGAATACTCTTTAAAATTTATTTCCAGCACTTTTGATTTTATGCCTGTAGATCATATTTCTTGTGTTTAAAATCAATGATAATTGTCACAGTCATGAGAAAGATCTTAGCAGTGACTCAGAGGTGATTAGAAATAAGTAACAGGGATCCTGAACACATTATCTGAACTTGTATGAATTTGTAGGGCTTGACTCATGACTTTCGAGCTTTGATGACTGACAGAACTGCAGAAGCTCTTGTGAAAAGTGGATGGGGTTCTTGGTCCCCTTCAAATTAGCAGCACAGCTTCGGTTAATTAGCTGCAAGGACAAGCCTTAGAAATGAAGTTATTTACCATGCATTGTTTTAGAAAACAGCTGCAGCAGTTTAAGATATTAATGCAACCCAAGCTATTTGTTATTGCCCTTTTGCTGGAATTTATCACTCCCACAGCAGAATCGGAAAATGGAAGGCGATCGTGTGCCTTGGCCACATCAGGGTGAAGTTGAGCAGCTTAGCTTAAATTGCTGCTGAAAGTTGTTTTTAAGTGAAGCTGCCAGACTTTGTGCTGAAGCGGATGAGGTGCAAGTACACGTTGCATTCCACCAGCTCTCCTTTGGCAGCAATGATCTCCAGCAGAGGAATAGGACAGACATTTGGGGGTGGTAAGTTTTTAAACTATCTCAGCTAGAGCTACTAAACCTTGTCTGTTAACATGCTGAGATGACTGTTAATCAAACCTTTATTTGAACAAAACTGTGGTGAAACAAAGAACGAGATTACTCTTTGTGCGTGACTGGAAAGTAGAGCATGTTTTGGAAGTGGAACAGTTCCAAAGTAAGAAAATTGCAGATTCTGACTTATTTTCAGTTCTCAAAATACTCTCCCTTTTAAATCGCAAGGGTCTGATGAAATTTGAGGAAATAGCTCCTTTACTAATCAAATGTTTTTCTTTCTATATTTTTTACTTTCAACTGTAGTGTAAAAACTGCATGGGGTACAGCTTTGTTTCTTGGCATTGGCAAGAGCTAGCATTTTGTACGTGATATGTAGTTTTCTCCTTAACTAAACGCCAGTTCAGCAAACTAGGGAGTGTGTGCCAGCTTTGTACAATAAAATGTTTGGAAGATAAGTCAGATCTGAAATTCAGAGCACCTGCACCGAGAAAGGTTATTTCTCGTTGTTCACAGTGGTTTGAACCATGGCAGTGATACGCCTGACATAGAAACTGATACAAAGAAGCTCAAGTTTTTAATTGCCATGAGGTTAATAAAAGAAATGTTGCAGTGATAATTTTTTACTCTTGTTTGGATGAAATTCCTTTAGAAAATCCAAGTCATTTGTGATAGTCAGTTTATTGCTACAGTGTGCCTAAGCATGGGTCACTAACCTGCCTGTGTTTACGGGATGGGATTTAGACCAGTGTTTTGAGGAACAATTAATTGCCTACTGATTGCAAGGCTTTTTTTTTCCTTCTCAGCACTAGTCAAAAGATTGGTATGAAGAAACTAGGTCCTGTGAGGTCAGATAACACTGTTCAATGCTAAAACTCCTACTACTGCCTTACATGGGATTTGGCAACCTTTCCCTTGATAACATCAGGCCAGGACTGCAGTAAATCATGGGTGTTGTCCACTAGATAAGATAATATGAATGTGATCAATTAAACTTAAGAAGAGTACATCAGCAGCTAATAAATCCAAATCCTTTACTGGCCTATTCAATTACTGTTGCTTGTTTGACATACAGGTTTTATTTACAGAGGTAATCTTTAGCATATACTGTTTATATATGCATACAATCCAGTTTATACATTGTTTCCTTTAATATAATAGTATTTATTCATTTATCCATTCATTTTAACCTTGAAATTAGTTGTGTAAATGTTGAAGTATTTAAGAAAATAAATATTAACTGGTTTAAGGTATCTTTCATAGCAGAACTACTTCTTCTGTTACTTTTTTGCTGACATTGTTATATTAATTTTTCTTCTCTTCGCATGAACACTGACAGTGAGAAAACTTTCAACAGTTTTGTTTGTCTTTAAGGGGAAAAATAAGAGCCTTTTATTTTTATATGAAGTAAAGAAAAATCAAAGCTTGCAGCACTTAGATGTGAGGATTTTAATTTATGTCACTGTGTTTTGGTTATATATTTAGTTATAATGCGATAGTTATGTAATGGAAAATATGCATGTGTACATCTAACACACTTGTTACACTTGTTGATAGGAAGCTGATTAATGCAATATTTAAGTACCCTGGACTTAAAGGAATAGGCCATTGTCATCTTTTCTTCTACTGACTTGTCTTCCTTTTTATTCTGTCCCTTCACTTGCTTTAATACACTTTCACTGATTGCATGTGTGAATATCTCACTTTGGTGCTTTGAAAGGGCATGTACTTGAAGAGGCTAGAGAAGCTCATAGTGGTGCTTTCAGCTAGACATGTTGCTCTTGCATCAGCATAAGGCCTGGAAAGAAATGCACTTTTGTTTTGCTTCTGCATAGTCTTTTTGAGTCATTAATTCATTCTTTTCAACAACTGATCAATTTCTCCATTTTTTTCCTTCTCTCTTCTTTTTACATTCTTCTCCTTCCCCTCTATCCATTATGTTGATATGTGATTAACAGCATGTTGTCAGGGCAGAACTAGTGAAATATCCTGAAGAAGATAACCAACGTTACAACACTTCCAGCTGCCAGAGCAAAGTCTGCTCAATGCAGTAGTTCAGGTATTGATGGAAAATGTGGGGTTTCTTTTAAGCTGCATTGCTTTTACATGAGGTAACAACTGTTACAGTAAGTTCTATTGGAAAAATATATTCTGTATCTGTAAGCACTTCTAATACTTAATATTTTAGTTTGTGTACAATTACACGGTATTTCTAATACCAGATAGTTCATAGAAACTTTGAAATACTTCATGTTACTGTATTAGGAAGGTCCTTCAGTGCTATATATTCAAAATGTTACATAGCTGCCTCAGATCGAAATGAACACAAACATGGATTCTCATTTTCCTCTCCTCATATAGGAGAGACCAACAGTAAAGATGGAACAACAATTACAATTTAGGCAGCTATTCTTAAAGAATGTATACCATAGTCTTTGTAAACAAATACTGTTTTATTTCCATACAAAACAGTATTTATGGAAGTAAAACTGTACTCACTGCTTTTGCAAAGAAGTCACATTCCATTTGTAGCGTTGTGAAAACCTGCCAAGGCACTTCCTTCAGCTTAGTATGGATACACTGATATTTAGAACGAGAATTACCACCTGATGAGACTTTCTGTAAGGTTATGAAAAAACCCTGAATGGCGTGTGTTTTGCCTAATTTTTTTTCCCCTTCATATTTCATAGTAAAATATCTGTTGAATGCTTTGCCAGGATGAAGATCATGTTTTCTGATTGTTACTGTGTTTTCTTTTATGACAGAGGGTGGTGAAGGCAGATATTGTCAACTACGGTCAGGAGCCTGTGACAAGAACCGTTAATCCTCCTAGAAGCTCAATGTGTGCAGTTCAATGACCACGCTGCTCTCCTCTGTTTTGATAACTTTGGTGGTCCTTCTACCTTGACACAGGCTCTGGGATTACAGGAACTTTTAACAGTGACCATCACAACAGTGCAATTAGAGGTTTCAATAATGTGTTGCACCATAGTATGTTGAGAAGCAGCAGGCAGTTTTTTGACTGGCTGAAATTCAAACATGAGACCACACATTTTTAAATATTAAGACCTATATTCTTTTAAATTATATTTAAATAATGCAGTATAGCTGTGTTTATATGTTTCCTCCTATCTGATCTTTTTGAAAAATGGATGAAGAAGTTCTGCATTCAGAATACTTTTAAAGACATCACCATGGAAGGATATTTTGCCAAAGTATTTTAAATTTTTTTTTCTCTCTTTTTTCTTTTTTTTTTTTCTTTCTCCAGTGATCTGAACTAACACTCAGCAAAATGTAATTTGGAAAAGCTATTGCTGGAATAATTTTAAGCACATAATATATTTTATCTAGGGATAATTTGGAAAGTATTCCTTTAATATATGTACATAGTGCAAAATGTATGATTGTATCCAGTAAGAAGCAGTGCTTGAAATAAAGCTGTAATATGAAAATAGTTAATTTTCTGAAGTCTCAAGTTGTCCCCATGGATGCTTTGAAAATGCTAGTGTTTTTGTGTATTTTTATTACCACATCAGATTTACTTTTTGCAGTAGTAGATATGCTCATGTGTCTTCATGAATATGGATAAACCTCAGTCAACAGTTTGGGCTGTAAATGTTGAGTGATATGTTCAGCGTGCATTAGAAACTGTTGATGGATCAATTAGGATCAGTCACTTTTAATAACTAACTGAATGACTTTTGGCCTGGTACTCTTTTCTTTCTAGTTCAGAGTAAACGACAAATAAAAAGCTGTCTGCTCTGTGATCATCACATTTCTCCTCTGTTCCTTTCATAGCAGTCTCTTCTAGTCATCCAGTTCTCTGCTGACACATCTGAACAGAAGGCTAAGGAGAGAAAAAAAAATTAAGCCAACTTGATTCCGAACTAGTCTTCTCCTGTTTTAACTCTAGCATGTGTTTTCTTATAAAGTACAACAAAAAATTTGTAGATTTAGAAAATTAGTGAGGCCGAGTAAAGGAAGCTTGTATGTCACAAGTGAGTATGATAAGGTCATTCAAGCAAGTGTTCCTATTAAGGTATTCTAGCAAGTGCTTAATGGTTTGAACTATTAAGCTATTAATAGTTTAATAAAGTAATTAAACTAATTTAACTATGTTAAAAGATTGCAGATGGAAAAAATGTGCTATTTGTTGTTGTTTTGGTATATTCCAGTGTAATTGAAAAACTTAAGTTCATTTTTAAACCATTCAGTATGCAGCTTGACACATGGTTTTACAACTACATGATAATGACTTAATGTTTTATCATTTAAATGTGAGAAATTATTCTACACTAACGTAGGTGAGAATTTGCAGTAAACGATTTATTCTAGGGTTAAGGTCTGTGTTCTTGCTCCCGTCCCATGGGCTTTTTGTCCCACTGCATAGCTTTGCCTTAGAGTTAAGTGCAACTGAAAGGTGAACTATCTTCCACTACCACCAGATAAGAACTTCTGCTCAAGCAGTTTTTCTGAAGTAGCTGATGAGTTTACAAGTTGATGCCCTCCAAAGCATGTGGTAAGTTTTATGAACCCTCAGTTTTCTTGGTGTGTTTGTGTCCTGAACTTGCCCATACACTCAAGTATTCATGAGAACTGCCCACTCTCTGAGGAGCTGTGCACAGCCTGGCTCAGCTGGATGGCTTAGAGCTGCCTTTCTCTACTGTGTGTGAGTCAGCCTCATAGTTCTGCCTCCAAAATAATATATGGTATGGTCTTAAAAACCAAACAGTGCTTTTTTTCTTAAAAACTGTAATCTTACTTTTCAGAAGAAAATTATTTTTTATAACTCGATATGCAAAGCCAATTATTACTCTGAATAATAAAACCCATTTGCTTTTACATTTGGGGTAATCCTACAGTATGAAGGATGTCCCAGTCCAAGGTATTTTACAGATGGATTTTGTGTCTCTGTCTCATCACAATCTTTTATTCCTGGTGCTTGTTTTTCTAGCTGTCTTTGACTCATACATCCTTTTGTGTTTTATTCCCATTGATCTTTTCACCATTTCTGTGTTAAAGCCCTACCTCCTCTGAAGATATGTTTGTTTACATTTCCAAGCTGCTCTCATTCTTCCTTCCTAACATACATGCATATTATTTACGCTAACCAGGAATCTGTCTTCTGTGCTCTCATCCCCTCCTTTTGCTGCTCCTCTTAACCTCCTCAGGTTTTCTGTATTGTATACTGACTTCCACTCTCCCTGCCTTTCCCT